GTAAACTAAAAATAAATGAAATCTCATCCAAGCTAGGATTTTTGCTCCACTGGTCAGGCTGGTTATGATGCCATATAGAGGCGTGTGCATGTGTGTGTCTGTAAACCCTTGCTATATTTTTTTCATGTAAAGGTAAATGTCACACATGTTTAAGTATTTAATTTACACGTTAGCTGCCCTGAGAACAATTTTTTTCCCCCTGAAGAGAAACGTTAGTAGATAAACCCCAGAAAAATATCAGGAGCATGCATTTACAAATTCAGGCCTAACAAGCATCTATTTCTGTTTTGACTATTTTAATAAAAATAAATAATAATAAAAAAAACAGTTAGATTATTATTCTCATCAAAATTTAAGCACATTGAAGGAGTGCCTTTCTGTTAAAAGTATCTGCAGTGTGGGCTGTTCAGACCCTAGGAATACTTAAACTCAGTTCTCTTATTGAAGACTTTGTTAACACAAACAAATCTTAAAACCAGCTAAACAATGCATAGAAATATCCATGTTATATCCATCATCAAAGAGCAAAAATCTTCAGTTCTTGCTTCTCTGGTAGTATTTGCATTTTTTTCCCCTTCATTAGCATTTAAAAACACCCACAGTTATACTCATTTCCAGTACGACAATTATTTCACCAACAGATTTATTAAAAAGCAAAAGCATGGCTTTTTACACAAAGTTATCAACTATCAAAGGAGTAAGAAGCACAAACACAAGTTCACTGGTAGCCTCCAACAGCTATTTTGATCTGCTCTAGGATGGCATAAACCAGACTGCATGCCAATACACACGACTGTTAACATAAGGTATTTTAACAGTATTTATCATCTTCACATTAACTAACTACTTTTAAAAAAAAAGAAAAGAAAAGAAACAAGACACTAATTTTCATAGGGAGAAAAAAACAAATTCACAATTAAGACAGAGTTAGGAATACAGATAGAGGGCCTCATCCAACTGGTCACTAACATTATTACCAGATAAAAATCAAAGTACATCAGAAGGAGCTACAAGGTCTGTGAAGTAATGTGCAGAACTGCACTCCCTACAGATCTGGGATGCTGGGACAGCTGCTTTCTGGAGATGCACTGGTTGTTGCACAGATGGTGTGATCAGGAGAGTTCTGGTTTCAATCACAGAGTCATGTTGCAGGAAATAGAAATGGCAGAGCAGAGCACTGCCTCTCTAATGAAGAAATTCTTCTTACCAAAACTTCTGAGAAGATCTGTAATCACTGGTTGCAAAATGGCTGCCTAATGAGGACAGTTTTCAAGCTGGAATCAATGGGTGGCCTAGAACACAGCAAAAGGCTTAGATCTTGAGGAAGATCTAAGGAGATCTCAGCAGAGACAGTCAGAAGAATGAGAAGATGGTGAGCAGCAAGTCAGGCTGCTAAATATTTATTTATGCATCAGGGTGCTAAAGTAATAACTATGAAAATTGTTTAACTCATTAACCAATTTACACCAAAGTTATCAGAGGAATTAAGATCTTAAAAATGCTACACTCCTACAATTTTTACCAAAACACACATCCAGGATGAAGAAAGAGATGTTTTGCATGTAATTGAGAAAATATGAAACAATCCTACCTCTTATCTGACATGACACCATCTCAGAGAGCAATATGAACCCTCCAAACAGCAGGAAAAGCTTTAGTCAGACCTCAGATCTCCCCAGGCCACTGGAAAATCTTTAGGACACACTGCAGGACTTAAGAGCTTTGGGTGCTGCTGCTAATTGCTCAAAGCATAGAATATGTTGAAAATGGTGGACTTCAACAACCAAGGGAGGATGGATGCTACAGCAAGATTACAATGCAATGTTCTGGGGGCAGCTTTGTTATCCAGCAGAAAAGTGACTATATCCAATTTAAGGATAGCCTTTCCTTTTGAGCAACAAGGAAAAACTGAGGGAGAACAGAAGACTAGAGGGCAACTTGAGTGGCAGATCATAGAAAAATATCATTTGTAATTCCTAGGAAAGAGAGAATAGAATTGAAAACAGAAGAGGTGAACTGTAAAGCTGCCAGCTTTCCTGGACTTTTTCAATTGCATTAGTGCAACTGCTTGTATAGCTGCTCTGTGAGCAGTATAAAAATAAGATTCAGCTTTAAGAACAAAAAAAAAATCTTTTTGCTGGATTATTTTTAAACTGGATTTGTTCCCTGATCCAAATCACAGCTCATTGAAGAAACAGTTGCGCTGGCAGCACAGAGGGCTGGGGGGCATGAGAATATCTCAAGCCAGTGTCAGCCAAGACTGTCTCGTGAAAACTACAAACTTAGATGTGCTCTCCGCTAGATTTTATTTTATACTAAACTCCAGAAAGTGATCTGTGTTCTCAAAGAAATAATGTAAAGGGCATAAACACAAACTATCTCAATGTGCATGAAAAATAAGGCGTGTAACGTGAGACAAACTTGACTAAAGCAAGAGCTCTTCAATGATCCTGAAACACTAGAAGGAAATATATGCAAGTAGAAAGTAGGTCAAATTGCTAAAGGAAGAATATTAGAGAACAGTGCAAGTACGTAGGGACAAAGTCAGAAAGGCCAAAGCGCAGAATGAAACATGGCTAGTAGGGGTCAGAAAAGAAAACAAGTCTAGTAGTAGCAGGGGAAGGTCAAGGAAAAAGTTGTTCCACTACTCCATGGGGAGGGAAAGCTATCCATGTGATACTGAAATAAACCAAAACGTTAAATTTTTGTTTCAGCCTTCACTGAAAAGTTTAACTGTGATTACACATCTGGCACAATTACCAGGAACTGTGCACATGGAAAAGAGATGTCACGTATTTTGACTTCAGTAAAGCTTTTGACATTAGTTAAATGTGATGTAGGTACAACTACAGTGAGAGGGTATAAAGTATTTACAGTTACTAAGTAGTACTTATCATTTATTCACTCCCACACCTGAAGAATGTATCAAATGTTAAATCTGTGCTGAATCCTTTAACATTCAATACTTTCATTAACAACTTGGATCTTGGAAAAAAAAGTTCACTACCTGTATAAAATAGGGAGGAGCTGCAATACAGGATTACAATTAAAAATGGACTCGACAACCTGGAGGAGTAATCTTAAAAAAAAAAAAAAAAAACAAATTTTCCTCAAATCAAGCATTATAAACCAAATATATTTGGAGTTAAATGAAAAAAAAGCATGGACTAAGTTATAGCGAGGCACTCTTATTTTTTTCCTGCAGACATACACAGATTTTAAAAATCTTAAATCTTAAAACAAGGACGAGAAATAATATTTCACGTTTTCTCATAATTTCATAAATAATCATAATCAAAATACTACTGCATATCATAATTATAAGACAAGTTAGTATCTTCATACATTTTAAAAAATCATTGCAATACAACTTATTTGCATGGAGAGTTCTGTCACTATTAAAATTACTTCAAAAACTATGATCAACCTAGATGCATTTCTTTAAAACCTCATCTTCATTTAAAATCTAATTCACTTAGAATACTGAAGAAAACAGAAGTCTGGGTACAGAACATGTTCATCTTTTTTTAAAGCTAGAAAAGAATTGGTGTTTTTCTTTTTATAAGCTTTATCAGCACTTTTACTAAGCAAATAATAACTTTGTATTCACTGAGTAAGCATAGTATGTTTGGAATTAAATATGCTATCTTTCTGGCTAGATCCCAGTTTCAAGTGCAAGGTGGAACTCACATTTGCCTATGCAGCTAGGAACACTAGTTTCGTAACACCGTGTTTCTCAAAATAACAGCAGGCATTTCTTCACTTTTGCAAAAAATCCTGTAGAGCTACAGTATTCATAGAAAGTTCTTTGAATTGACAGTTCAGTAAGAAAAAGTGAAATGTTCCTGTCTATAAGTAAGACAACATAATTTGTATAAAAATACAGCCAGAACTACATTTATAAATTTGTAAATTTAGATTTCAGACATAAAAGTTGGCATAAATGTTGTTGCTGTTCATATGGAACCAAGAAGGAATAATTTCCTACTTGCCTTCGAAAGTTCTACGTTGTGGCTTTGGTACTACCTTTACTTCTCTAGTCCTGCCTCCCACACAACAATCCTGTCCGTGAACTCCACCAGTACGTGTGTAGCTCACGCAGCTCATCAGTTAAGCATCCTGCCTCCGTTCTGCAGGGCACTTAAGAACCTTCTTCATAGCTTTGCTTTAGTTGAGCGCAGATATCTTGCAGATGTTTAATTTAAAGCTCATGTGTAGCCCCACTGAAGTAAATGGGATTACTTAAGTACTTAAAGTAATTCCCTGCCGAATCAGGCTTTTAAGGGTAAGAATAAATGTGCTTAATTTTTATTCATGCATCAGATGTCTATCAGACTATTAGTTTAAACTCAGCAGCTTTGTATCCAGTTAATCTTAAATCACTGGAGTTTAGTATCGTTACCTGCTGCATCTACCCTCCCCGCATCAAGGACCTCTAATAAATGTAACCCTGTAGCCCAGTTTTTGCACACAGACAGCATGTATGTCATCAGACCCAGTGCTGTGAAGACTTACACAGCAACAAAACTACACAAAGCAAACTTTCTCTATTTGATCAATATAAGACAAAAACAGCTCTTCATTGTAAAAGATAGATAAACTGTATCTGGACTTTGTATTTTCTAAATGTTACATACATCGAAGTTCTCAGAAAAGAACTCTTGTAAGGTAGATTAAAAAAAATGGTAGAATCAATTATATTTATTTTGGACACAAAAGGTAAACACATTTGTCTACCTATAACTGCTTGCCACCTGCATGCTATGGAGTTTTAGAATTATTTGGCAACTTGATACTGGGAGGAAGTGTTCAAGGAAACAAAACGGGCAGATCTAAGGTACTTAACGTACACACACTCCATATTGCATACTCTCATTACCTACGCACTGGTGAGAGCAAACACAAAATAGCATGAATGCAATTTGAGGCTCATCAGTGCAAAATCTGTCATCAAAAAAATCTACAATCTCATCAGCAATGAGACACTCAAGACTTCTTACCTCATCGAGACCTGGCTGAGCGACGCTGTAAGTTCCGTGTGAACCACCTTTATCCTCAAATTTATCCAAATTTATCTCCTATGGAAAAACTAATATGAGAAGGCTGGCAGTAATGAATTCACCTTGTCATCAAGCATCAAATCGAAGACAACTTCATTTAAATACAACTGGAAGTATAAACCACATGCAAAATTACCATACATTTTAGGCTCACTTGCAGGTCAACAAGATGACACCCACTGGCACCTTTGTGATAACAGAAGGATAAATACAATTCCTTCTTAGAATGTTGATAGGTCACCTCTGGCCGACCCCATCTTGTTGATTACAGCTCGATCTGATATTAAACCTATATAATCTAAATTAAGGAAGTAAAGCAAAGGACTAAGAAACCCCGGACAGATCTCCATTTCATTAATGCAATGATCCAATATCTTTTAGTGCACAGATTAAAAAAAAAATCCCATTCAAAAATACAACTCCAATTCAACCATGACCACTAGTGAACTTCATTCATAAATCCAAAATCTGCTTATAGATTCATACACAGAATTACAAACAGGAGACCCCAATTATTACTTTAATAGCATACCAATATCGGCTACGGGCATGCTGACTACAGGTAGTCCCCCACTCCCATCTAAACCATTTCAGCCTTCTGACTTTCCGTGCTGAAACACAACAGGGCTTTCTCTTGTGTCAGAGGTGAGAAAACAGAAGAGACTGATACAGACAGATTGAAAATTATAATAAACTCCTCAAATCAGATACACCTTGACCACCATTGTTTCCAACCTTGCTCCTGACTAGACAAATGCAGGATATGTAGGGCATAAAATCTGATGAGCTCAAGAAATACTCAGAGGATACTGAATTGCATCTTCAGCAATACCACCTACTGCAACCTTTTCAGATTTGATCTCCAGTCTTCATAACGGCTTTCCACAAAAGCTCACATCAAAGTAAAGGTCTCAGAACTTAGCTTCAGCACACTCTACAGCCTTGTCCAAGAGACACAGTATTCTTTTCATTTTTCATGTTGCAAAACTATGGAACAAAATTCCCAAGGCAGCATCAAACGCTTCCCTGTCTTCTCAAGGACAAGGCACGCTTCTTTGATCTTGTCTTTTGCTCTTTGTGGGTATGTGTACAAACATGTGTACACAGTCTTCTATCTGTATATTTTTAAGCAGAAGAAGAAATCCTTAAGTCCCTTACTGAAACAGAAAGAAGACTTCACGGCCCACACTTCTTCCTCTGAGGGGACGAGAAACAATATGGGACATGTGTCAGTCAGTTATAGCACTTAATGCACTACTAGAAGGCGCTGAGACACTTTATCACTAACTGTATGTAATAAGTATGCTATAAAAACACAGAAGTGTTGTGAAGTACAAAGGTTGTAAACTTATTCAAGTTAAATGGCTATGTTTATAAGCGCAATATTTTCCTTTAATTTATGTTTAAAAATCATCAAAATTGCTTATTTTTAGGCTGAATTTGGCAAAAAATTTCTGAGGCTTGACTGTTTTAACTTCTGATGGTTTGTGTTCAAATCTCTGACTTGCGATTAAGTTTCTGTTTGTCTTCACCAGAATACACTATCGACCGCTACTAAATAGCTATTGCTATTTTCCCACTTCTCCAAGTGTTCTGCATCCAGATAGTACCACTCCCCATAATTCATGGGTTTTTTTACACAAAATCTCTGTTGAAGAGAAACATTTGCTTCAGATTTTCTTCCAGTCCTGCTCTATAACTTCAAAAGAACAAAAAGCTGGCTTCAGAAAAGACACCCTGAGATATGACCAAGAGCTTTTGATTCCTTCTCTGCTACATTTTCTCTACTATTTCTGTGCTTCCTTCTTTCTCCTGTCATTTGCCATTATATTTCTATCTGATTACCAAATATCTGGCGAAGGGGCACTTGGCAGTCCTTAAAGCCATTCAGTCATCCAAAGGCCACTGGGCTGAAGGCAGAACGTGCGATGCCTTACCAAGTTCCCAGCAGCGCTGCCCTTGAAAGGCCGCTGATACAACTTCCAGGTCCTTGTGTCCCCTGTTCCTAGACCTTAAGTTTCTGAGCTCCTGCCAGCGCGCCCCGTCGGGAAGGCGGGATCCGTACGCGACGTGGAGCGGGCACAAAGCGCTGTGAGCTCAAGCGCGCGCTACAGCAACAACTCCGGGATAAAGCGAGTCTCAGGGAAAGCCCCCAACCCACAAACACCCCTTGAAAACGCTCTGCTTCCGTGTGTTTCTTTCCCACGCGCTCGCAGGTGCGCGGAGCCAGCGACCACTCGGCTTCGGGCCAGCAAGGGAAGGCGGC